AATGATATTTTTTTCTTTATAGCTTACTTTGGAAACAATGGCAGGTGAGTCATATATACTTATGTGAAATATGTATTTCTGTATTACAGTTTTTTTTTTCAACTGCTTACACACAAAATCTTTACTGGTCACACAATTTCTGAAAGCTGACATTCAAACACCAGAACCACACACCAAATCTGCAAAATACGCTAATTCTCGGCCTTTGAATCAGTTTTCAATTTCATAAAACACTTTTTGCAAAACACAACACACAATTCTCTATGTAACACACAAAATTTGAACAGGAATTAATACTATGGCAAAGGTGTTTGCAAATGATTGCTTTTGAGATGTGTTTGTGATATTTTGAATGCAGTACTTCATGTTGCAAGAGATGTGAGGCATTTTGCATTTTGTGTGTGCAATTCTTGGATTTGTGTGTAAAGTTTTGAAAAAAGAGGCAAAGTTTTGAAAATTTGTGTAAGCAGTTGAAAAAAAAATACCCTGTAATTTTAAGCAGGAACTTTAATACTGGATTTTTTCCAAATGCCGATTTAAGGCCAAAACAAAACTAAAGTGATAAATCTATATTCTGGATAGCTCTTTATTCAGTCATCTTGGGTTAAAAGACCCTTAATATTCAGTGATATCAATTTGACTACGCTGACAATATCGAATAACAACAGAACTTGAAACTGAGCTGAACTGCATTTCCCAAAAAGCATCGTAAGCCTATAAATTGATCGCAGCTCCATTGGTGGCAATGGGTCTACAATGTACTTTAGGCTTACGATGCTTTTGGGAAACGCAGCCCTGGACAACAACACTTTTTTTGTAGAGCTTGTTTATATACCTGAATTGAATTGATTCATAACCGATGAACACTGCAACATCAACACTGTTTTGAATCAACTGAATTGAATCAGTGCTAAGCTGAATAACACTATTGCATTCAGTAGAGCTGTTTATGGCAGAATTAGTCTTGTTTTATAATTTAGTGAACTTTGCACTATTATTGAACTAAACCGAATCAATGCTGAACTGACTTGAGCTGAATAATGATGCTATTAGCTTCCATAGAGCTTCTATAGAGTTTAATAATAACTAATAAATTTTGCAACATTGTAATCAAAATTGAACTAAAATTTTACACATACATTTTACACAATTTATGAAAGAAATTATGTGTATTTCTTTCATAATCGAACAACACTTTTTATTTTCTTCACTATCACTGTAAATAAATGTGACTTGATTTGACCTTCTGTAAATATACTGAAAAGTTTGGGTATATGTTTAATTACAAATGTATTTATTGTCTAGTTTAAGTCTATGAATAAAGGGCTGGTGTTTGTATAATTCTCCACAGATGACAGCTTTAAAAAGGAGTTTCTTGAGGCCCATAACCAGTACAGGAAGCAGCATCAAGCCCCAGAGCTGACGTACAGTGACAAGCTGTGCAGCGCTGCTCAGAAGTGGGCAGATCACCTGCTGAGCATCAGATCACTGGGCCACAGTGACACGCAAAACGGGGAGAATGTGTTTTATTCCTCCAGCTCTGTCAAAAAGACGCCCAGAGGTAAAATCTGCAGCTTACTAATTACGTACAGCATCTTCAAATTGATGCAGAGTGAGAAGGTATAGACTCTTATAGAAAAATTGCGTGGATTATTTCCTACTTGTACGCACACAAAAAAAATCAGATAAATAAATAAACTTATTTCACAGCAAAATTGTATACGCACATGAATTTGTTCATAACCTTGTTCTAAATGTGCGAAAAATTGCGGTATTCTAAATAAGTGGGCACTTGCTCAAGGCTAGTAATTTGCATAAATTCCATATAAGGGCTTTCCGCATAGTCTTTCGTCACTTTATGGCGCTCTCTCAAGACGCGCTGTAAGAAGATCCTCGAGCACTGTATCTACACAAGACTATTTTGGAAAGATTAAAAAATATATATATTAATAGAAAAATATATATATTAATAGATGTGCTATAGAGATTTTTCTATTTTATGCGCTTTTTATTTTCAGAATGATATTTTGAAAAGTAAAGAACAACATATTCAGTTATTTTACTAGGAAAGTATCATATACATAAAAAGAAGTGGGCACTTTGCAAATCAAACATTTCACTTGTTCTAAATGACTTTAAATCATATCTAAACCTTCTGAAACAAACTAAGAAAAAAGCGTATGCAATGCCAACTTCGCCATCCTCAAAACTGGTTCAAACACCTTTTATACAGTGAGACACAGATTACAAAGATCTCATTAGCAGATAGCCTATTAACGCATATCAGTCTTGTCATACAACCTTTCAAATCGAGCTATAACACAGCCTTTTTTACTCTTTCTCTGTGTATGATGAAATATATGTATGTATACATTTTATTCTTAACACAATATAAGGTGACCAAGAGATGTGATTTTTGCGTATGTATGGTTTCAGTCTGCTAAATGTATAATTTTAGTATGAAAGTATAGAGAATCATGATTCGTTCGTACGCAGATTTTGCTCACAAATTACTGCCATATAGTGAATTAGACCCAGTAAACTGAGATCTTACTATCATCATAAAAAATGTAATTTTACATGTTCAAATAACGATAAAACAATTTTAGCTGTGAAACAGAAAATAAATGTGGATCACACTGATTTTTTTTTTATTATTATTGTTTGGTATATTTTAGGGAAGGAGGCTGTAGACAGCTGGTACAGCGAGATCAAGGATTACAACTTTAGCTCACCAGGATTTCAGTCCAGCACAGGTAACAATAATTTTGGGAATCAATTATTTAATTTGAATATATGACATTACATAGATTGTTCAGACATTGACATTTCTTATTATTGGCTTATATATAATTTAATATACTTGCAGGGCATTTCACCCAGGTTGTGTGGAAGTCATCCACAGAGCTCGGAGTAGGTCTGGCTACTGATGGAAACACAGTTTTTGTCGTTGGTCAATACAAACCTGCTGGAAATATAAACAGTGCTGGTTACTTTGAGAAAAATGTTCTACCTAAAACTGAATAATGATTGATAATGATTGTTTTCTTTCCTTATAGGATTTTTCTATTGCTAAATGTAAACATTTATGATTTAGCAGATGCTTTTAATTCAAAATGATTTACAGTAGGCTACATCACCATAACCAGTTTAAATGTGAAGTCCTACTGTATAATACCTTGTGATCAAATCCTGTGTGTAATAAAAAAGTAATGGATCATTGCCTCATAAGCGAATGTGCATTTATTGACATTATGAGCACAAAACACTGAAATTGCCAAACAAATACCAAAAGAAGCAACACCCTCTCACTTTCATATGAAGATTGAAAGAGAAGGCGGGATTTGTCTTTGGGATGGGATCATATTTGACACACAGATTTCTAAGGCTTCTAAATTATCAACATGATCAAAACTTTGCTATTAAAAAAAACAAATAAATAAAAACTTGCTGAACACAGTTTACTACATGCCTTCTATCATCCGATTGATTGTTTCTTTTTTTAGCCAGTAAAAGGCCTCTTGGTGCATTTGTTAAATGTGAAAACTTTAATTATGTTAATAAAGTAAGCATAACTTTTATATTATTAGCAATATTTAAAGGTGAACACTGAAAACGTAGGCTGATTATCCAGACTTTTTTTTTCATGTTCAAATCATATTCAGATGTATCAAATATGATCAGGCTTTTGAGGAATGTTTTTTTTTTGTTTGTTTTTTTCATCTCTCAGTCATCACTATTCAGGGCCGGATTAATATAAGGGCTAGGCGGGGCTGAAGCCCCAGGGCCCGCGTATTGAGGGGGCCCGACGTGATTGGCTGTGGAGGAAAGGAAAATTAGATCTAGAATTGATTGGCCATCGGGAGCACCCGAGCTTTTCCCGGTGTGCCAATTGCAGAAATCCCACCACGCCCCCACATTAGTGTCTGCGCTATTTCAGTCCAAAAGATATGAGCTATAAAAAATGCCGTTGTACTCGTTTACACTAGAGTTGCGGTTATCGTTTAATCGCCTCGGCTTTACTGTAGCGCAAACAAACACTGAAAGCCAAGTGAGGAAACTTGGCTTTTCATTAAAATTCAAGTCTCTTCACTAAAAGCCAAGTGATGAAAGTTACCTGATTAAACCGCGCAGCGCAAGAGAACAGCTGGACCACACCGGACCGGTGTCTCCTGCCGGTGTACCGTAGCTCGACGCTTTCGCCGCTCTACTGAAGTGATAATAAGCAGCGCTTGCCCATTTGAATTCCTCACAAGACACTTATATTTGAACAGTAAAGTCTCTGTGGTGAAGCTAGCGGAAACCAGATTGAATGGCACCGACCATGTAAACTGAAGTGTAAATCTGTAAATAAGCAATTTAATCCACAGCACCAGGTTATTTAACATGCATTTACTGACACTATAGAAATATGGTTAATGATATTTATTATTAGTGTCACGAAAATTGTTATAGGATACTTATAGTCTATTAAATATTGGTTCAAATAAAGGCAATAAGTAAATTTTATAAAGTTTACTAATAGGCTACTATAGTTAACTCTAGATTCAAGAATTAGCTTTTCATTAGGGCAACTACAAAGGACAATTTAATAGTTCTAAGAAACGTTAATTGCAGAAAAATATGAATTCAAGAATTAAGAGCCTGCAATGGAATATTAATATTGTTAAATGCATTTTAAGTATTCAAAAATATCATTTGTTTTCGTCCGTTATTTATTAATAAATAATTTATTCCAATTAATTTATTCCCAGCAAAACATTTATGGGGGACTGTGTGGGCCAGATGGGCTGACTTTTAGCACCAGTCCAGCCCTGATGATTCTCCTCTTCTAGGGCCAGAAAGATGACCTTCTAATAATAAAACTGTTTAAACTAAACTTCTAAAGAAGTATATGCTCAAAAGTTGTTGCTGCTTCTGGAAACCTGTTTGCTTTGAATTCATATATCTGGTGTTAATGTATTTATGTGTTGTAGCCTGGAATATGTAGTGTGCATACACATTGTATATATGCGTGTTGGAGATTTGATATAAAAATTTTTTTTTTTTTTTAAATACGAATTATTCCTGTTGTAGACAACGTTGTGGCACCAAGCTACTATAAAGGGGGCCCTTGGGTTTGCTATAGCCCCAGGGCCGTATGCGTTCTTAATCCGGGCCTGACTGTATTGCATTGCATTATATGTTTTGAAACTACAGAGCTTTGATCATAAAACTAATCATTAAATATAATCTTATTAAGACATTATTGGGAGATAGGCCTATAGAGTGACGACTGATAGCCTGTTTACAGTATAGCCAATGCATTTTCTTAGTCGATGCATTTTGCTGATGCTGTTACCAATTATCTTTTTGACTTACATTACAAGCTATCAGAATTTTCTATTACTTGCAACTACATAAAGTTGCGTGTTTTTGCTCAGTTTTGGCCTCTGAATAAAAGCACTGCTTCTAGTTATTTTATCAAGTTGTCAGTTGTGATCGCTAGAGGGAGCCAGACACCTATATTGTGCGCCATAAAGTACAAGATAAACATACCATTTCCCAGGAATTTTACTGCGAAGTCGCCCTGTTCGCTCGTCGATTTGAGGGTTGATAACAGTATGGGATTTTGCATAACTGACGATACCATGAACACCACCAGACCTAGCAGTGTGCGTGTTGCTTTGGAAACTTGTTTTCCCAGAGCTTTTGGAAAATATATAGGCTATACAAGATAAACAAGTAAAGAAAACAGCTTTGCTCCCAACCACTACAATATGGAATTTTTTATGTACCGCAATGTTCTTCATCAGTAGCCTATTTTTGTCGTGTTTTCCGGTGCAAATGCATAAAGATTAATACAAATGTCTAAAAGATCATAAAAAAATTATGAGAAACCGATCAAAATTAAGCAAGTTTATAATTAAAACAAGAACAAATATCTGCCAAATGGGCTCAGAAAAATTTGACTTAATTTTGTTACATTTTGTAAATATATCATAACTTTAAAATGCTTAGACATTTATACTGGAAAACAAGGCAAAACACTGACGAAGATATTATTTTTTTGCAGTGTATTTAATATTTAATACCATGAATTTGTGGAAGGGTAAATTAAGACTTTTTAAGATCTGCAGAAACCTTGTATATAGTTTTGTTTCATAAAAGCAATAATTCATATTTCCAAGGCTCAAAACTCATAACCTGAAAATATATTGTGCACCACAGTAAATATGATTTTTGGATTAATTAACGGGTAATACATCTTTGGCATATCTGTATTAAATTCTATTTTATTTAGAAGATTTATTTTCAAGTTAAAGGAATATACAGTATATATATATAAACTAGTGATCATCTGGGAATGTTATAGGGATTGATAAAAGTGATTTTTAAGTTATTGTTTTTCTATAGTGCTATTTGAAATTCCAACAATACCTGTTCTGTAGGTCCTGTTTTGCATGATGCTCAAACATTTACAGCTATTTTTCAAATGCCTCACATGATAGTACTCAGTCATTAATAGCTTGTTTTGAATATCGCTGTTACTGGCAGCAGTTACAAATGTACGCAGTAGTTCAGAGGAATGCCTCCCTGGCATTTACACAACATTTTTGTCCGTCTCATAGGAGGAAATCAGTTAGAGGCCATCACAGATGCTGAGATAACATGTCAGGAGTCATGCTCTAATTACTGTCATTGTAGCCACTGTTGAGTGCAGTGCACCATAATGTAGAAGCTGAATGCCAAAGACTGTGGTTTCTAGAGAAGAGCCAATGAATAATCAGTGACCTGGACTATGCAGATTTGAATATAGCTGAAACCATGAGGAAGACTTCGCAGTTTAATCATTGCTTAAGAACAGTTAAGCACACACAAATTAAAAAAGCTCCAGGGCATTTTAGTATAAAAAGAGGAATCCAGTGCATGCAAATCTGGCACTGAAAAGGTGCTCGTCATTAAAAGTGATGACTGTCTCATCTCCTAGAGCGGCTGATGGGGCGACTGTAACACATTTGTGCATTTTCCTTCATAATTCACAGCCTACTTCTACCCATCATCGTTTGCTATTAGAATAATTCATATGTGTCAATAGTATTACTATTACCCCTTTAAAACATACTCTGTTGTTTCTAAAGCATCTAAATGATCAACATGATAAAAACTTTGCTGAAAGACCTCAGCACACAATCTACATTCCTTCTGTCATCTGATTTGTAGTTTATACTATTTTTAGTAAAAGGCCTTTTAGTGTAATTCTAAAATGTCTATTTTCAGGTCAATAAAACACAAACGACATAGCTTTGATAATAAACTAAGCATTTAATTATCATCTTACTGAGACATATTATTGGAGATTAGTGTGATGACTGATATTTATATCACTTTATGTCAGTCTGTTATACTGTTATTAGATCTTGTTGATTTACATTTCAGGCTATCAAAACTTCATCTTTTTTTGTTTTGCCCATATAAATATCAGCATCTGCACCAAATTGCTCAGTTTGAGCCTCTGAATAAAACTGAGGTGTTTTTGCTTTAGTATGATCTCCATATTCTCCTATATCATATATGAGGCATTAAAGCCTGATGTATAAAATATGATACTCAACAAACCACATATGCAAACCTATTTTTTTAAATATATATATATAAAAAAAAAAACTTTAGGCTATTAACACACTTCGAATAATTGATCATTTAAATTGAAATCCCAAACAATATTATTGCTTAAAACTTGCTTAACTGCTAAACACTTATTAATATCGCTAAACAGCTTTTCTTTTCTTTTTATTCTTTATTTCTAATATGTCTTTAAAGTAAAGTACTAATTGTGATCTACATTACTATTGGAAATGCATTCAATTCTTTTGCACTGAAAATATATCAATCAGCTGATGAGTCACAAAACTAAAAACATTGAGTCCCATTAATTAGATACTTAACAGTATATTTTTATACTTATATAATACTTTATGTTTTAATCATCCAATTTTCCAGTTTATCATACTTTTGTGTGTGTGTGTGTATTTCATAACATTGTTACAGTTTCCCTGATCTCGCAGACAATAAATCTTGTATTAGCTGGCAAGAATCTCATCACATCATGCTTTTGTTTCTTTAATCAACAGCCTGGTGACAAAATAGATTGGACAATAGATCAATTCATTTTTCAAGGCTTCATAACTTTATAACCACAGAAGAAAGTACTAAAAAAACATTCAGTCTGTATTATTCTGTATTTATAAATACAGAATAAAAAAACCAAGAGAGTGTACTCTTTGACACAGAGCTATGTATGCAATGTGTTCAGTGTTTTTGGTGGGAAGGGTCTTCATAATTACAGGCATAGATCATATGTTACAATTCACAGCAGGATTGTTTGTCATGCTACTCAAAAAAAAAAAAAAAACTTCACAGTTAAGCATAAATATCTGAAATAATAATATTTAAATGCCAAAAAATAACAAGACAACATCAAAATGCACTGGACAACTAAAGTGAAAATACATCACATAATTAACATAATCTCCGGAGTGCTGTCTTATGATTGTGTGTGTGTGTGTGTGTGTGTGTGTGTGTGTGTACTATTTTTACTTCTTGTCAGTGAAAGTAAAAAAGAAACTAATTATCACAGCAGATTTCACAGTAATGTCTTTTCACAGTAATCCTATGGAAAAAAAAACTCTATTCACTTTTTCCATTAATTTTCTCTCATTCATTTTCTGCGTAGAAAATGAACAGGATTTTTACTTCTCTATTTTGTTGGTTAATGCAGAAAATCTCTGTACCTCCAGTCCTGCTGGAGCCATTTCCACCGGCAAGATGCGCAGAGCTTGAGACGAACACACGTTACAGAAGTACGGAAACACTTTCTCGCTAAAAGCATGCGTGAAGGTGTGGAGATGCGTGTTGGTGAGAGCATTGAAGAACGACACTCGCCCTCCGTCCCAGTCCAGCTGGACTCTGACACGCTGGACCTTCTGTTTCACGGCGAGCGGCGAGAGAAACTCCCCTGAAAGGCCTTGTCCGTATGCGCCATTGTGAAAGCCGAGGCGCCACAGACCAGAACTGGGCAGATTGTCTCGAGTCCGGATGGCAGACTCTGAAATCACTCCTAAGGCCCAGGTGGTGTTGTCACCGACCTCGACGTCCCAGTAGTAGTGAGTCCCAGAGCTGAAGCCCTCAGAGCCCAGGACGCTCGTATAGCCCTCACCTTTGTCTGAGTAATCCAAGGCTTGTTGACTCCACTGACCAAACCTCACATCGCTCAGATTGTCAGATAGATGCAGGCATGGGTGAGCGGTGTTGGGGTCGAGGACAACAGGAACTACAGATGGAAGAGGATGCCATGGCATTTGCTTGTCACATAAATTAAATAGGTTTACACTATATTTTAGATTACACTTTACACAGATTATGGTTCCAACAGGGGGTTTTCATACTGATGCAATAGAAGAACCATTGTTTGTTTCATAAGAACCATTCAGTGAACAGTTCTTAAAAGTAGCTTGTTTCCACCACAGGAAAAAAATAAATTAAAAAGGTAACTGCCATGGAAAAAAGGTCATTGTGACTTTTTGTCTCACAATTCTGACTTTTTTTTTTCAGAATTGCAATATGTAAATTCAGATCTGCACGATATAAAATCAGAATTGTGAGATACCATAAATATAAAAATAACTCTGAGAGGGAAAAAAATAATAAAAATCACAATTAGGCTACCTTATTATTCTGTGACAAAAAAATTGAATTGTAAAGGCTCGTTCACACCAAGGACGATAACTATAAAGATAATGATAAAGATATAGTTCTAAAAATCGTTCTCAGTATTAAATAATAGCAGAGTCCACACCACAACTATAACGATAAAGACAAAGAGAAACGATATAGTTGGAATCCCTTTAAAAACAATTTTTTTTCCAGCTGATGAACGATAAAAAATTGACAGCCAATCAGAATTCATCTTGTTGTAACGAGCTCGAGAATTTAAAGTGTGCGCTTGGAATAAACAGACGATATCGTTCACTGATGTGGACGCTAATATCGTTGTCTTTATAGTTATAATTATTGGTGTGAACGGGGCTTAAGATGTAAAAGGTCAGAATTGCGAGATAAAATAGTCACATTACCTTTTTAATTATCTCAGAATTCCGAGTTTAAATCTTACAATTTTGACTTTTTTTTTTTTTTTACAACTGTGAGATATAAAGTCAGAATTGTGAGTTTATAAACTCAATTCTGAGAAAAAAAATATTTTATAATTGTGAGATATACACTTGCAATTGTGAGAGAAAAATCACAATTACCTTTTTATTGTAAACTAAGAATTCAGAGAGAAAAAAATAACAGAATTATGAGATACAAACTTAGATTTCAGAGAAACTGTGAGGTATAAACCTAATATTGTGAGAGAAAAAAAGTCTTAATGACCTATTTTATTTATTTAGATTTATCCCATGGCGGAAATGGGTTTTCATAAAATAACCATATAAAATATTTTTTCTTAGTGTGAATGGCGTTTTAAAAATCTAAAGAACCTTTTTCCACAATGAAGAGCCTTTTGTTGAATGGAAAGATTCCATGGATGTTAAAGGTTCTTCATGGAACCATTGATTCATGAGACTCACTGTATTGAGCAGCAGACTTCATTTTCTGCCATACGCTGAACTTCAGATTTCCCAGGTGCTTTGCCACATTGATCAGCACTTCTGGGAGCTTCTCTGGACAGGGACTGGTGCACTGAGAGCTGGAAGAACATCCTCAGTCAGTGCTCAACGTTATTTTGGGTCCCAATCAAAACAGACAGGGTTAAAAAAAAAAAAAAAAAGAGAGAAAATCACACTTACCTTTCAGGTGGGCCTTTGTACTTCTTCAGATGGATGTACATGGAAATGACCAAGAGACATTGTAATTAAAAACAAATCTCATAATCAAATAATCATAAAAGTTTATAATTATAAATTGATAAATGCTAACAAATCAGCATTAAAATTAGCATTAGAGTGATTTCTGAAGGATCATGTGACACTGATGACTGGAGTAATGATGCTGAAAATTCAGCTTTGATCACAAGAAGAATAAATTACATGTAATTATATTCAAATGTAATAACATTTAAATAGAAAACATTTATTTTAAATTGTAATAATATTTCATTATAATACTGTCTTTATTGTGCTTTTGTTCAAATAACTAAATGATTAATATTTGACTATTAATCAAATAAATACGTCTAATAAATAAATGTTCAAATATATTACATTTATATAATAAAAATAAAAAATTTGAATCCTGGTTAGAAAGAATAATAAATAATTGGTCATACCAGCAGGAATGAGATGTTGTCGGTCTCTATCTCTTCCTCAGTGATCCTAATTCTTTCTACCAGAGATGAGAGTTCACTGTTAATTCTTATCATCTGCTCCTCTAACAGCTTCCTCTTCTGCTCCTCTTCCTCCTTCAGAGCTGTTTTCCTGGCCGCCTCTTCATCACGCAAAAACTGACGAAGCTGCTCAAACTCCTTCTTAATATGTGCCTCTGTTTGCTCAGCTTGATTCTGTAACACATTACAAAGATAAAAGTTACGTAATTGTTACTCATTTCTGTAGAACATGCAGCTGCTGATTTTACCTTGATGTGTTTCACTCGTTGATTACAGATTAATTTTTCTAATTTTAAGAGTTTGTGCTTCTCTTGCAAAGGCTTCAGGCTTGTTTTGAACACCTCCTGAAAAGAAACATGGAAATACAATTTATTTACAATATTCAGGGCTTACTCAAAATTCTAACTGTTTTAAAGAATTTGCACTGTTCTTAAAAAGCTTAATGACTAAAAATTTAGTACAAAATCTGTTTTTTTTTTTATCTATATGTGAAATTTCTAACTGCTTATGAATGTCTGTAAGTTAAAGTGAAATGATATGCTCTTAAAATATCTTAAATTAAAACTAAAAAGTAAATGTAAAGTAATATTTTTCTAAAAAAGCAGTTGGATAATGTACCTTGAGAGCCACTGCAGCTTCATCCACAGGTCTGAATGTGTGTTTAACATGCATGTCGTCAGTCACACACACGCTGCACACGAGATGCTCGTCCTCCACACAGAAGAGCTGAAGTTTCTCTCCATGCGCACTGCAGAATAACTCGGGCTCTGCTGACGCAGTCTTGCTTCTCTCCTGCAGGAAGATCTCACACAGGTTCTTCAAAGCGCGGTTGCATGGAGGACGGTCCATGCAGAAGTCTGTCCGGCATACAGGGCATATCTGTGAGCCGCTGAGCTCCCAGTACTGATTCAGACAGGCCCAGCAAAAGCTATGAGAACACAGCAGGAGAACGGGATCTCTGAAGATGTCACGGCAAACAGGGCACAGAAGGTTCTCCTCAAAGTGAGACGGCCGGGTTGCCATTTCGTCGTGTTTTAGCTGGTGAGAACTTGCTTTTCTGTTCACTGGAGTGTGGAGGAGAGATTCAAATACAGCTGAGCTGTGATGTCACTTTGTAAAAAAACGAGTTATGCTGGTGCATAAGGTTTCCAAAGAATGGCTGAATGTATCTGTGTGAGTGCATGTCTGCACTGTTTGTGTCTTTCCTTGGAAAGATAGACATTAAAGATTACAAAGAATTTGTTTTCTGTTTTCCTTTTCGATCCCTTATTTGGGATTCACTGGAACAGCATGATCTACAAACGAATCAGAACCTTTTCCTGGTTACTTTTTTGGTTTCATTTTGAATTACAGAGTATATTTAGGTTAGAAATTACCAAATGATGGAAAGACTTTCTTAGTTCTTGGTTAGTCTCTATCTGTGTGAGTTGACATGCTGTAAATACTGTAATTTGATGCCAGAGGGGAAACCGGAAACTATGAGTGCAGGTGAGAAAGTGCAAAAAATGCAATATATCTCCATATATTATGGCTGTACATGACAGTAACAAGTGTATGTGTGTGTGTGTGTGTGTGTAGGGAGTGAACTGACGTAACAGGAGCTTATATGCAAATTAATATTAACGTTAGCAAACTATGCTAAGTTGTTCACCAGAGTATAGGCTGTATGTAAAATGCAGTATAAAATGTCATTGTGTGTGTGTGTGTGTGTGTGTGTGTGTGTGTATATATATATCTATAGCCTCAGGTTGTTGTCACATTGTAAATCACTTTGGATAAACATCTGAAAATGATTACTTGTTTTTTTCTAACTGAATATAAATCAGAACAGTATATTTTACAGTGCATCTGGAAAGTATTCACAGCGCTTCACTTTTTCCACATTTTGTTATGTTACAGCCTTACTCCAAAAATGGATTAAATTCATTATTTTCCTCACAATTCTACAAACATTACCCCATAATGACAATGTGAAAGAAATTTGTTTGAAATATTTGCAAATTAAAAAAAAAAACATGTACATATGTAGTCATAGCCTTTGCTCAATACTTTGTTGAAGCACCTTTGGCACCAATTACAGCCTCAAGTCTTTGAGTATGATGCTACAAGCTTGGCACACCTATTTTTGGGCAGTTTCTCCCATTCTTCTTTGCAGGACCTCTCATGCTCCTTCAGGTTGGATGGGGGTATTTCAGATCTCTCCAGAGGTGTTCAATGGGTTTCAAGCCTGGGCTCTGACTGGGCTACTCAAGGACATTCACAGAGTTGTCCCATAGCCACTCCTTTATCTTGGCTGTGTGCTTAGAGTCGTTGTCCTGTTGGAAGATGAACCTTCGCCCCAGTCTGAGGTCCAGAGCGCTCTGGAGCAGGTTTTCATCAAGGATGTCTCTGTACATTGCTGCATTCATCTTTCCCTCGATCCTGACTAGTGTTCCAGTTCCTGCCGCTGAAAAACATCCCCACAGCATGATGCTGCCACCACCATGCTTCACTGTAGAGATGGTACATGGTTTCCTTCAGACATGACGCTTGCCATTCAGGCCAAAGACTTCAATCTTTGTTTCATCAGACTAGAGAATTTTGTTTCTCATGGTCTGAGAGTCCTTCAGGCGGGCTGTCATGTGCCTTTTACTGAGGAATGGCTTCCGTCTGGCCACTCTACCATACAGGCCTGATTAGTGGAGTGCTGCAGAGATGGTTGTTCTTCTGGAAGGTTCTCCTCTCTCCACAGAGAAACGCTGGAGCTCTGTCAGAGTGACCATCAAGGTCTTGGTCACCTCCCTGACGAAGTCCCTTCTCCCCCGATCGCTCAGTTTGGCCGGGGGCAGCCTGCTCTAGGAAGAGTCCTGGTGGTTCCATACTTCTTCCATTTACGGATGAAGGACGCCACTGTGCTCATTGGGACCTTCAATGCTGCAGAAATTTTTCTGTACCCTTCCCAAGATCTGTGCCTCGATACAATCCCGTCTCAGAGGTCTACAGACAATTCCTTGGACTTCATGGCTTTTGTGTTCTGACATGCACTGCTAAATGTGGGACCTTATATAGACAGGTGTGTGCCTTTCCAAATCATGTCCAATCAACTGAATTTACCACAGGTGGACTCCAATCAAGTTGTAGAAACATCTCAAGGATGAACAGTGGAAACAGACTGCACCTGAGCTCAATTTTTAGTGTCATAGCAAAGGCTGTGAATACTTATGTACATGTGATTTATTTATTTATTTTTATAAATTTGCAAATATTTCAAACAAACTTCTTTCATGTTGTCATTATGGGGTATTTTTGGGTAATTTTGAGGAAAATAATGAATTTAATCTATTTTGGAAGAAGGCTGTAACATAACAAAATGTGGAAAAATTGAAGCACTGTGAATACTTTCCGGATGCACTGTGTATGATATTATATACATATACTCTGACTCTGACCCTCATGCTTTAAATATTAAAAATATCAAACTAAGTGTAAAAGTGCTTTAAGTATTACAAATATCAAACTAAGTGTGAAAACTATTAGTTCACATGATCAAAACAAACATATTGACTGCTCTTACAACCACATAGGAAGCCAAACAAACATACAAGACAATTAATTTAAATGACCAAATATTAGTGTTAGTGTTAACTCATTTTATATTATTAATTTATCTGTGCGGCATTAGTTATTAAATGTGAAATAATACCTCAGGATTTTTTTAGGAAAATAGGCTAGTTGAGAACTTTCTTCTACTTTATCTTAAGCAATTTCTTAACTTCTTTCTCGAGAAGATGTTTGTGAATCCAGCCCCAGCATTCTTAAGAATTCTTTTTTTTTTTTTGCTGTTTCTTCTTATTTTCTAACTTATGAAAAAAAATTAATTTGATTCATTTTACAACCTCAATTCCAGAAAAGTTGGAATGTTTTGTAAAATGCAATAAAATCAAGAATCTGTGATTTGTTAATTCTCTTTAACTTCTGTTTAATTGACAAAAGTACAAAGAATGTATTTCCAAAGTTTTCACTGACCAACTTTAATGTATTTTGTAAATATAAACTATACATTTTGATTTTGATGACTGCAACACACTCCAAATAAGTTGGGACAGAGGCAAAATAAAAGTGAAAAGGTTATAGAATATCCCAATTAAACTGTTTTGAAACAGTTCACAGTAAGCAGGTGAATTGGTATCATGTTTGGGTAAAAGGAGCATCTTTGCCATCAAATGAATATGCATGACCTCAGATGGCATTGCATAAGAAGCCGTCAAGAGAGCTACTCTCAGACAGTCAAAAAGACAGTGCATGGAAATGTGTGCTGTGGTCAGATGGGTCCACGTTTCAGCTTGTTCTTAAAAAACAAATCAAATTCTCAGTCCAAAGCGACCATCCAGATTTTCACCAGAGACAGATGCAAAAGCAAACATCTGTCATGATATGGGGGTGCATCAGTGCAAACAGCATGGGTTATATGTTCGAAAGTACCATTGACATGGAGGCATATATTGGAGGCATAGATATGCTGAGCATCTGAAATCTTGTATCAAGCGAGATTGGACAAGGATTTTTCTTGCAAAACTTTACCAATTACTATCCTCAATTCCCAAACAATTGAACATTGTAATTAAAAGGAAAGTTAATGTGACAGAGTGACTTGCCTCCATCAAAATCAAAATTAGTTTATATTTGCAAAATAAAATTCAGTTGGCCAGTGAAAACAATGGATTTTTTTTCTTTATCCTTTAGTCAATTAAACAAAGGTTAAAGAGAATGACAAATAACATATTCTTCATTTTATGGCATTTCACAAAACGTCCCAACTTTTCTAGAATAGGGGTTATACATCTGTTTGGAATTGGTTTTAAAAGGCCAAATAATGCTTCAAGATTCTTCTGAAAGCAAATTCAGGACTGTTTTCTTCTGATATTCTCCTGATTTTGCAGCGCAAATGTAAGCTATTTTTTGTGAATGTGCGAGACTTCTGGTTCATTAGCCGCTAGAAAATAACTAGAAGAATAACAAAGTGCACTAAACGCTAAAAATGAATACACTACAAACCAGTGTGTTTATAATTAAGACAATACATTCAAATAATCTGATAATAAATACCAGTTTTCAATGTACAGCTAAATATAACTGTATGTGAATGACACCGGAATCCTCGCACGTTCAACCTTAGCAAACGCCACAAACAATCAAAATTAATAATAAAGAGTTTAACTCCATGTCCACTAGAGAGAGCCATTGCATTGGCTATAGACTGATTTGTTTTGAAGCATGTTCTCGTTTAGACATTTTCCATCAAGCTTTCCAGCTGTGTATTGCAGGACTAAACGTCCAGAACTTCTTCATCAAATAGCTATGATATATTAAGCATGCACCATGTTGCATATTACTTCAGGACCTCGTAAACCGCCCTTGTGAAATGGGTGTATTATCTATGATGTAAAAGGAACCAATTATCAGTGACATTTAACCTCCGGGGGTGTGATGGCACTGGCAGAGGAAACAGGAAACAGATGTAATTAGTGGCACTCCAGAGATCCCTGTGTTATTTCAACCCATTTCAACTTGAAAGCTGTTTCCTATCGATTAACACGCCCGTCACTCTTGTGTTTAGGGCAGGCTGAGAAAAGAAGTGCTGTTTTATTTGTGTCTGGGTGCTAGAAACACTTACAGCTCATTGCTCACGTGTAGCCAAACTACTTTGACTAAACTAAACTAAACTACATAAAGTCTTATTTTCACAACAAGCCTTTTCTGGTTAAGAACTGAGTCCGTCTGGTTGTCATGTAAAGTTATCAGTCACAGTTTGTGTTTTTACATGATGCTTTTTAATTATAATAATTGCAAACTGTATTTTCTTACTTTCTTTATAGCTTTTGGGGTGAACTATGACCCTGACATTCTGAGGGTTAAATTGGACCAGGGCATCCAGGGGTGAGCCCCGGCATATAGGTTTACATTGGTACAATTTTTTTGTGAATGTGTGAGACTTCTGGTTTATTAGCTGCAGTAAGTAAATAGTAAATGCTAAAAATGAATACACTAATACACTGAAATGTATTAAGCCCCAGATACAGATCCC